TGATGTTGGCCTGTGATGTTGCCAAACAGGGGAAACTTAGTTCTCTGCTTGGTATCGAAGCGAGTTGACAGCAACTCATTTTCCTGCAACTCAGAGGTCAGATGTCATATGCCAGTGAAGAACGAGAGCAGCAGAAGGTTCACTGTGTGTTGGGGTGGGGTGACATAGTTCTGAACGGACAAATAGGCAATGTCAAGACATTGTCTGTGTACAAGGAGATGAGATGCACTTGGTCCGTGTGGTGCGTGTACAAGTCGGATGCAGCAGAACGCCAGGCCAATGACCTGGTGGGGCACATGGTACTGCATATTTGACTTCGAGCGCACCGTCAAAGCCATCCTTTTGGTTTGTCTCCTTTGGTTAGGTGTGGCCACAGGTTAGACTGTGCCAGGCACTGTACATCACCACACGCAGCAGGGGGGCATTTAACTCGCACTTGTGCACACGGAGTGACTGAAGGACGGCTTGCACCACAGAAATGCGGAGAACGAAACACTGACCATGTCACTTGTCTCTGCTGACTTACTTCAATGGTAAAACATCACTTGAACTCCAGGAGGACCTCGCAGAGCCTCGCTAATAATTACCCATAAGCCCAACGTACAGAAGCACACAAAGTGCACAGGTCCCCAGCCAAGTCAAGATGCAACTAAGAATCGGGGCAAGAACAAACAGTCAGGCAGTGCACTAACCTTGAGCGCCTCGCCCGCAACAGCCATCAATTCCTTCGACAGCCGCACACCCAGCTTCTTCTCTTCGTCTTCCATCTGATACACACATCCATAGGCAGCGTCGTTGGCGCCCAGGTGTGTGCGGACCACATGCTTTAGCTCATACCGAGACCTCCAGTAGTCCCTCCGGCGGTTAGAGAGCAGTACAGCAGCACCACCAACTCGGAACAGGCAGTTGGGAATAAGCATAGATCTCTGGTTCCCGAAGTACCTAGCACATGCCCACGGAGCTGAGCTCTCGTACTGTGCGCTTGCAGGACAGTCATCAAATGTGACAACATAAACCCAACTGTGCCGTCCAAGGCAGTGCTGGGCACTTTCTGCAGCCTCAGCAGCTCTCAAACATGAACAGAACAACAATTTGCAAGTTCCAGACAACAAAGTAGAACGATGCCACACTTCCTATCTCCACATTCTCCACCTTGAAATGAAATCAAAGTTGCGCGTGATAAAATTCTACCCCTTGAAATGACATCCCAAATTGCCTTTCCATTGGCAGACACAAACAGACAGCCGACATCAGCCCTTCGAAATGACAACAAGCATCGCTGCTGCCGCCAGGGATCGTCTCATTGATGGTATTGCACAAATAGAAGTCACCCATCGTACCACACGTCCACTTGAACAAGAATGCAAACTGCCCTTGCAACAAGGGGCCACCCACCAGTTCTGTGTAATGTTCTCTGTCGAGAAGACAAGCGCACGAGAGGAGGGCATGACCTGCAACACCTGTCGAGCAAGGTCCACAGCAATGAGGCCTGCTGAGCAGCCCATGCCTGCCAGGTTGTAGGAAATGATGTTGGACCGCATCTTGAAGTGGTTGACAATCATGGCTGACAGCGATGGCGTTGGATTGAACAGGGAGCAGTTCACAACCAAAACATCGATGTCCCTTGGCTTGACACCTGGATGCAAAGTCAAATCATTGTTCAGCAAACAGAATTTGGAGCTATTCTGCTCTGTCACAGGCTGGCGCAGAACAATCTAGAAGTGCAGCAATCTGGCCAGCCCTTTAGACTACATCAGGACCACGTTAACCATTGTCATTGTCCTAGACGCACATGCCAAGGTTGCTACTATGCCTGATGATATTGAAACATGAGCTTAACCACACCTGTTCGCTTCAATAAGTCTTCAATGGTGGTAAACATGACCTCCATGGCCTCTTCTCTGGCAGACTGCATGCATATGTTGGTTGGCTTGGCTGTGATTGCTGCGCACCAGGACACGAGACAAATTTACACAACGTCAACAGACAAAGCTGAGTTCTAGGATGGCTGAGAAAAATCTGAGGTTTGCCAACTGGAGTGCCACGAGTATCTTGAACAAGTGTCGTCAAGATAAAAATTCAACCCATGCTCAACAGCGTCGACATGTCGATGCAAAGTTTTGGAATGGTGCCCAGTGCTCACTCCTGTGATGTTTACAACGTGGCGTCTACCTGCAGTGGCTCTATTTCAAGCAGTCACAAAGAGTGTCAGAAGAATTAAAATTCGGAAAATGACGTAGGAATAAGACAATTACGCAATCTGATACAAATGACACATAAGAACCTCAACGCCGTGTTTCTTCACAGTGTGGAATGTGACACAGGCAGACAGAACACATGGACATCCCTTGGGATTCATCGGCAAGATGCAATTGCTATTGGATCCAAAGGAGTTTAAGAATGGCATGGAAGCAAAAGCATCTGCCATCCACTTAAAGATGTATTACCTGTTGAGTTGCCACAAACAATACACTTGAATGCACTCAGGGACTTGAACCAACAGCGGTGTCAAGCGTGGTGCCGATCATGAGATGACAAGGGCAGTCGATGCTGCATTTGTAACTGTGCCCACTGCACCTCACATCTAAGGGTGTGGGTAGCTCACATCCAGAGCTGTAGAGGGAGAGCACACAAACTGCTCTGTCTGAATCTCATCCACACTGTCCTAAATGTGTATCAGGCCAACTGCAGCTGTTTGTGCTGACTGATAATATGGGGGATTCACAAAACTCAAAATTGTGGGGGTGAAACGTGCAGGCCGTTGCCTGCAAGGTGCAAGGCCAGTATTTTATGATGTTTCAGCGATTGAATCAGTGGAAACACATAATTAACCGATTCACTGCAGTCCAATGAGAAGTTGCTCCATTCTTGACTGGTGAATGCACAATTTTCCCAACATGAACGAGTTCATGAAAGATCGATGGCATATTCTTTTGTATGGCGCTCATTGGCAAGATAGTTTCATGTCAGACTGCGTACAGCAGATGCCATGCCACACAGGCATATTGGCTTGCAAGCAAGAAACTGAGGGATTTAAGCACAGGTTCCCTGCCGAGTGGGACACATGGCTATGCAATGCACAATGACCTAGGTGTCAGTTGCAGAGGCTTGTGCTGTTGCTGCACTGTGCAAGTTAGGCCATGCCAGGTAAAGTCACATCGTGTCACGTCACTGGGTTCCCCTTGCCTGCTGGCAGGTATGTTTCATCTCCAAGGCCAGATTTCCTAAGGATCTTTTCTTGGAAAGCCAGACTCTGCTCGTTGAATGCCTGCAACATGCGCCACATAAGGACCTCCCTGAATAAAGAGCCTTCAAACTAACTACAGCAATAGAACTGAGCTATACTTGAACTGGACTTCATCGAACTGAACTGTAATGGTCTGAGATGAACACGCCAAACACATTTCACTGCAAGGGACAGGCCACTGCAGCTGAACAGAATGGAATCCAGGGACAGCAGAAGCAGCCACTTTCACCCTGGGGCACTGCACTGCCAGAGAACAAAGCTTAACATCTCGCGCATCCTCACTGGTTTGAGCAATCAGCATCTGGTACAATTGCACCAAACATTGACAAACCACCCTGGTAGTTTTGATCAGCTGCACAGTGTGAGCATCTCTCTTTTGCCCTCCCGTTCTTTCAATTCTGTGTCCTGCACATGTGACAGCCTACCCCACACTCCTTGGACCCCTCCACACACATCTGGTGGGTGACTTTCAGGCTGCAGCACAAACAAAAGTCACACCAACATGAGCCCAAGAACATGGCCATGCTCCCAAGACTCCCACAGGGCATGAAAGCTGAGCTACCGGCAGCAAGACACCCAAACATCTGTGCCACAATTGCCCACAACTAACTCCCTCCTTTACAAGCCCGTAGTGTTCATAACCTAATCCCTCACTGCATGGCTCTGTGTGTTGTTGCCTCCACACATGCGACAACTGCCAGTCAACGCTCAACACTGCACAAATTGGGGTACAGCCATTGCTACAGTGGGAGCGCCTCATTTTCAGCCACACGCACATTGCTGTCAAATGCTGTCAAAGTCCTGCTTCAAACTCTGTCTTGGTGGCAGCATGCTTTCACATGTCAGAGGTACTAATTCTCGGACAGTACTGGACCATGACATGCCCAATCTCCAAGACAACAAACTGCCTTTGCTGAGATACCACATCAGCAAGGTCAACTGTTCCACGAACTGTGTATCTGGCAGAATTTGAGAACAAGATGCTCAGAAGCGAGGTGGGGCTGAGGCCACTTGCAGCACTGCAACAAGCAGTTCTGCAGCAGAATCAGAGCTGTCCTCGTCTCAAACAATGCTTAGCCATTTGTCAGGCTTCGGTTAAAGCACAATTCCAAACAGCACAGCTGACAGTGACAAAGATGGCCCAACCACTTTATGGGCGTTAGGCTATGTGATGCCTGTACAATCAAGGTGGAATGCTTGAATGACAATGGATTCTTTCAGCACAGCAGGCGCAAGGCAGCAGCAGCCTGCATCACTTTCTGGTGTTCCACCTGTCTGGAGGCTTGTGCAGGGCGAAATCCATGAGGTACACAGGTCTGCTCTGCAGAAGAACGTAACTCACTGCAACCAAAACCAGCAGGAGGGAGCACCCTGCAAACGACACCTGCGTGGCAGGAATTATACCACAGTGAGTAAATGTATCATAAAGCATGTTGTAGCACAGTGGTACGGTTGCACAGTAGCACAGCATTGCAGTACTTCAATGGTACAATAGCACAGTAGTACATTAGTGCTGAAGCACAAACGAGCATGGCCATGCATGTATACAAATCAAAGCCTTGTCGTCAACAGGGTGCTAGCAGGTGCCTGCACTTCCACAAATGCCAGCCCCTGAGAAAGATGATCCTCATTCCCAACATAAGCCCTGAGCAACAGAACCTGTGTTGATCTGAATACATGCCAGGTGAAAGGACGGAGCACTGGCACAGGCTGCCACCATACGCTTTGCTAATGTAATGGAGCACCCACAAACAGAAACATCAGCATAGCCAGAAGGCCCATAGAACAGACCCTTCAACAAACTGGGTTCCTCAGATGTGCGAAGGCCTCTCAGTAGTGTTGTCCCAAGAGCTTTCATTTCACGTCCGCATGAATGGAAACCACAACCCGAGCAAAGGTGACCAGAGCAGAAAGGGTAGCAGGAGGCAGCATACGCAAATATGCCACACAATGGGCTGCTTCCCAACCCAGCCACGCAGGGAAGTAGATCTGCGCTTCGGTCCCACATATATCAGCACTCTGCAGAAGCAGTTCAAGGAATAGGAACAACGTCATGCACAACTTCCGTGCGACATTCCCCTGGGCTGGCGAGTGCTAAGCGAGGATTGGGCTGGCTGAACGAGACCAATTGAACGGTGTGGTTCTGCAGCACTCTCCTGCCAAACTAGAACTTCCCAAAGCGGGCACGTACGCCCAACACTCAAAGCCACAACAACACTGTAGTCCCGAGCAACCCTTAAACCCCAGCCACAATCCTGGGGGTGCCAAGCGAGTGGCCGAAGGCCAGCCGCTGGCTGCAAGGTCTGAACGCTGTGCATGTGGAGCGCGCAAGGATAACCCCGAAGAATTTAATCTGGCCCGGACGGCGCAAGAGAGCCCACGCACTCTCATACAGAGCCCCAGACCCGCCCATGCCCAGCTAAAGACATGAGGACGCCGTACCAAGCCCAGCATGCGCGCTACATCCTCCCGCACTCCCACAAGTGACGATTGGCCCCTGTGGGGGCAATGTCCCACTCCTCATCATTCAGCGGCCCAGCGAAGCCGAACACAGCCGGCGACGAGCGGGCAAGATGTCCGCACGCCTTCGTCACCCATCCATCCCCAGATGCAATCCAGCAATCGATGCGCACCGCCTTTGGGCGCCGCCCGGCGCCCCTGCCTCGGCGCGGTTCGACAAATCTGACGTCACCCGCGCTCCCCGGCCACTCACCAGGTTGAACTGCAGGTCGGTCTGCGATGCCACGCTCCAGAAGCGCTGTAGGTCGCCCCTCCTCTGGATCTCCAGTAGCTCCAGCTGCGCCGCAGTCCACAACGCCGCACCGCGAGTCAACCCCAACCACTCCAAACGCGCCTCCCAACCGCCGCGTGGCGCATTGCCAACATGCTCCCGGCGAGTGCCCATTCGCCGCGCCGCGCGCACCGCATCGATCGACAACGGCGCGGCCACGGACGGGCGACTTCATGCGCCAGGTGTCGCAATCCCCGGAGGAATGGCCTCCGACAGCGGGCAAAGGAGGGCGGGGGCGGGGTGGGGCGGGGGCTCACCGACAGGAAGGCGCCGATCGGCACCAGCAGCAGCGTCAGCGCGTGGCGGCACAGCAGCGTGTAGCCCAGCTTAACATTCTTCAACGCCACGTTGTGTCGGTAATCTGCGCCCATGCCACCGTCAGCACCGGCCCCGCAAACATGAACCCACCATGGGCAAGGCCACCCCCCCCCCAACCCCGATCGGTCGCGCACCCCTGAACCCAGGCGCCCCCGGAGAGGGGCACGCCGCCTGGCCTCCTCCGCCCATGCCGCCTGCCTCGTCGGCCGCAGAAGTTTTGCCCGCGCAAGCTGCCGGCTGCGACGCGGCCGCGGCGGTGGAGCAGTGCCCGCGGTCCGCCTGTGAGGTGGGGATTAGGCCGATTTGAGGCGCTCGGGCGCACACGGCCCCCACACACGCCGGTGTGCGCCACTGGGCGGGGCCCAAGCGCGGCCTGCGGGGGAGTTTAATTGAGGTTGTCGAGGGTATGATTGGGCTTAATTGAGGTCTATGGTTGCGGTTTGGGGGGCGTTGGGAGGGGGGGGGAACCCCGTGGGAGCGGTGATGGCGTGACGGTTGGCGCTAATGCGTTCTCGTGGGGACTATTCATGCGTCAATCGGGCTTTACGTGCTCGTTACTCCGCGCTTCGGGGCAGCGGCGTAATATGGGGGCGGCGTTGCGGTGGGGTGGGGTGGGATTTCTGCCAGGGAGCAATGGTTTGCGCTCTGGTGAATGGGCCACTGAAGGAGAGGGGGGCCACAAAGCCCACCCTGGGGTGTTTCTGGGCAGCTTTGCAGCGCTCCTCCCAAGGTCCGAAAAAGACACCCCTGCAGACGGCTTTGTAGGTGGGAATACAAAGGACATGTCATGTCCTTGAGCACTGATCGCCTTGTGACCAACGCCGCACATCACATGAGTAGTGAGGCACTGGACGATTTGTCGCAAAGTTTCTGCGCTGCACAATGAAAAGGTTTGCACCAATGTGTCCAGTGATTTGCAACAGCTGTCAGGTCGATTGGATACTGATTCCCCATCGCTGTCCAAGCCGAAGTGCGGGGGCCTAAAGCATCGTATGATTGCCAGGGCCTGCGGCGCTGCCGATGGTTGCGTGGCTGTCGCCGTGGTGCTAGCCAGCGACCTGACTGCGCTCTGCTTCACCGCAAACGGTTAAGTTGCCGGGCACAACCAACTGGCCGTCGACCAGCAGTCTGCCACACCATCATCGCCACATCCCCTCTGGCTCTCGACCGAAGATGAAACAACGGACTGTCATGACGATGTGAATGCTGTCAGTAGACAAGCGTCAACAAATGTTGCGTTTCATTCTTTCCTATTGACGACATATGGCCAGGGTGCCGACGCCATGGAGCATCTGGCACGCTCATCCTTGTGTCCCTCCGTCCATGAAGAAAAAAGTGCGCAGTGGCTAACTTGTGCAGCGGCTACAAGCTTTGCCAGTATTTTCTATCATGGGAGCTGTGCGATCTCCTTTGCCTAAGGCTGCGCACCGGGCCTTTCACATGTGTAAATAGTTCATATCACGCCTTCCACCATCGCGGCCCCTATAGGGGTTACACCCTCATTGCCGTGACGCAGGCCTTCCAGGGCAAAGTTTGCACTCCCACCGCACTCCACATGACGTCATCTCTCGTCGGCGAGACCTGATCGCGTCCTCTTGTTTGGCAAAGCGACAGAGAACTGACAATTTCCGACAATTGTAATTCAAAAAAATCTCTGTCGACAGTTTTCTGTCGTTCCTCTAAACGGCGGGAAGATCGGTTGCTCGAAGAACAGATCTTCTGTGTTCGATCTTTGCACAGCCCGAGAGCGACCACCTGGACTCTTGGAAGCGACGTCCCGTTCTTGCGTGTATACATTCGAAAACAAAGAAAACGCATCCGGTGCATTTTCCTTGTTTTCAAACGTAAAAATAAGACGCCGCATTCAATTTCGAGGCTCTGAGGCGGCGCCCGTGTGCAAGGACCTCGACAATTGGACTTGATGGCCATCGACGACAGTGCGCTCTTCCGAGAAAAGCAAGCATGTTATTTACAGCGCAAACACTTTCTATTTACCGCCATTTACGCGCAAAATTGCTGTTTTAACGTTTTTACGTTTAAATAGCCGTAAAAATGCGTAAAATGAGCCCTGTGTATTTAAAGACAGTATATAAAGACTCAGGAGTCCGGGGGGAGGCAAATACACACGCTGAAGTATAGATAAGACGGTCTTTCGCGTGGCGACGTCGTTGGCCTTGCTGAGGGCGAGGGGTGTGCTGTGTTGTTGGCGCTGGAGAGAGTGGAGGATTGACCGTTGATCTGGTGACATCATCGTGCAATATGAGCGTATCTACGAGCCGCAATATGCGTAAATCAGTCGCTTCTCTGTTTACGCATTATTTGGCGCGTGAAAACGTTAACGTAGAAATGGAGCCGTAAATATAAGTAAGAAGACTGGAGAAAAGAATTACAAGGCTTTCCGCTTTCTGTGGCGGTAATTGTTTCAGAAAGAAATGGAGCTTTGCACTCAACGCTGGGTTCACCACCGCCGCCACATCATCGCAAGGGAGAGCGCTGTGATCAGCGCAACGCGGGGGCGGCTGCCGTGAGGCCCATCGCCACTGCAGAGGTCAGCCATCGGCGCTGTGCCCGCGTTGCTATCCAATTCCATCAGCTGGACCGCTCTGGAAACGTCCAGGTGGCCTTCGGTGAGCACTTGGCCCTCCAACGCGCCGGTGACCGCCGCGCCCCTGAGAACGGCGTCTTTCACGTCCTCCGCAGCACACCTGCAAGCCAACACCGCCCAACAGGGATATGGAAGCCAGTGCACCAGAGTTGAAAGAATGGATCATCGACAGCATGGCAGCAGCTACAGCCCATCGAGGAAGCTGGACTTAGTGACGGGTACAAAGTTGGCGAAACTCAATACCGCGCTGCCAACAGGCAGTACACTCAAGAATCCCACTGGCCACGCAGCAATCAAGGCAGCGCCACCGAGGTCAATAGGCGTGATGGCCGATAAAGCGATCAACCATCTGATCAATCTAATTAAATGCCACACACAATCAAGGCTGCGCAGGCCAAGGGGCTAACCGTCTAGGCGTCGTTGACCACGCATGCACCTCCCCCATTGCCTAGTTAAATATAGAGCAGATCCGATTTCTATTTCACTGGGCAAAGGGGGATGTGAATGTGTGCTAAAATGAAGAGCTGAAGGAAATGGGCGATTATCCCGCAGTTGGGGACAAAAAATCATTCCACACTTGAACAGTTTCTTCTTGCTAAGGTTATCGTTGATAATAAATTTTCCATATGTCAATCGTTGCCAGCTGAAGTGGCATTTAGATCAAATCTAGCCAACTGACATCCCCAGAATTTCCAACAATACATCCTCAAAATTTTTTTCCAGATATTCAATCATCATGAGAGGGGGCCCTGCGCCC